ATCACTCGTGGACATCGTGCCACCATGTTTGATAAAACAATTGTCGTGTTTCCCGAACCATAAATTCTTTAAATCTTTATATCCCGTTATGTTTCAAAATTTGGACGATTGTGGCAAGGATTTTGGAACAACATTATGTTCAAACGTTGATCAACGATCAAAAGTTATTATTTAAACAAGGGCGCAACGCAATAAAGAAGTACAGATGCTAACATCCATAAATAAACACAATGGTTCGCTATTGTTGTAGGTTATTGACATTGTTCAATGAAATCACTCTTCTGATACTGTATGAACTAAACGTGAAAAAAAATACTAATTATCTTAGTGGTTAACATTATGCAGATATGTGTACAAACAAGAATTCACGTAAATATTAAATGCGTCCGTCTTTCCCGCGGGGATGCACCTTTAGCTTTCGTTGACATTTTTACACTTACTTATTGTTGCATTTCTGCCCATTTCTGAACTTTTTGAAAGAGAACAATATTAAGGATTCGCGCACGCAACTTTGTGATGATTCAAAAGTTTGTGCCACTTTTGTGCGGTGCACCTCTCGTTCAGCTGAATGATTCACATTGATTTCTATCATGCACGCAAAGAATCGGAATTGCCATTTCTTTCCGTGATGGAAAAAAAAAAAATACAATATATATTAAGTAAAATATTTAATATTTAAATTTATAAATAGATTAGTATGGCTTGTACATCGTGTCTCTTTTTAACCTATTGGTCATACGAAAATAAATAATCTATTGAAACAGAATGGGCCTCATAGAGAGTGCGTGAGACTTTAATCATTCTAACCTTTATTTGAATATTTCCTTTGTCACATAAACAGTTTCACAGTATACACGTTAAAGTAACAACCAACTGTTGTGAACAGATCATCATGGATTTTCTTGATTTTAAAGTTTGTTTCGTCATCAATTGAATGACGTTACTCTATTAATTTATTTTGAATCAAAATATTAACATTAAACAGATAATGTCTCTGTTATCCCTATTGTTCAATTGTTATCCGTGGCGGGGTGGCGTTTTTCCCAAGGGAGGAGATTTCACCCCTCTTGAAAACTTTTCATGTCTTTAACCAACCTTTCAGTCATTCAGAGTTGTTCTTTAACATAAAAAAACTAGAGTGGTTTTTACTATAACTTTACGCCTAACTTAACCTTTGCCTAAACAAATACCCCACAATCAACAAATATCAAGGACAGAACTTTATTGTACACAAAATCCGTAAAAAAAGGACCTAAAAAAAAAAAAAAAAAAAAGAATATGCCGGCCACTCGTAAGCACCTTCATATTTCAAAACCACGTCGTCGCCAAAGGTCCGTAAGTCTTACGACTCGAGCTTCACGTTGTGGTGTTAAAAATTATGTCAACGTGCTCAAGAGTGTTCACCCTACGGTGGAGCTATTTTTCCCTGTAACAAAACAATATTTACAAGAATATATTGATGCCAAGAAGAAACAGGGAACCATCAAGGCAAATTCTCTTGACCAATACTTTCAACATATTGAAAGTTATAACATGGCTCTTGGACATGGGTGGGACTCTCAAGAATTTGAACCCATGATGCGTGAAGTTTTAGAGGAATTGGTACGAATTGAAGAAAAATATAACAGTACACGTAAAGCCACCTTAACACCTGGTGACGAAGAAAGTGATGAACTAAGTCATGAA